CTTCCCCTCAAACTGCCTCTGCAGATTCGGGGTCATGCTTCCCAACATGAGACAGGAGATCTCGATGTCGTCAGTCTGATGCTTCAACCAAGCATCCTTGACGGCTCTCGTGGCATTGGCTGTAGGCTCTGGTGGTAGAGCCCCTTCTAGGACGTAAGACTTCTTATCGTACTTGAGAACAATTCTCAAGTTCCGATACCAGTCTAAGAAGTTCGTCTCGGTCAACTTATCATTCTCAATGATAGATCGCATTGTCAAACTCGGTACGCTACCGGTTGACGCCATGTCCTACAAAAAAAGACAAACAGAACGTACAAAACAAATGCAGATTCTATTAATGATCAACTACTAGCTAGCCCATCATCAATCAATGTCTACATATCTATGAACTACTACCAGCTAGTCCATCATCAAACAATGACAACATAGATGCAAAAATGAGCTATATTCCCATACAGAAAAATAACCCTATCATAATTTTCTATATGGGACTAAGATCCATATTTCGCATAAGAATGGACTGTCACACCCATCTTTATGCTATTTAGGTAGACATCTAATGTCAATCACATCCAATGTGACTCTCAGATCCTTTTATGAGACTATGATATCAAATATCATTGCATACTCGTCTCATCTGTACCGTTAAGTCTCAAGTCAAAACTTGACAACTTAACCTAAGGTAAACCATGTTCAAGCTGTGGGAACCACGATATCCACCCTGTCTCACAAAGATAATCCGGCACGCTAAGCTTTGGCATGACCCATGACGATCGATGCCTTGACAGACGCTCTAGTAATGGGAGGTACACGCTTAGCATTACATAAATAAGGGGTTTTTGAAACCACACTTAAATCAAGCATCTACTTTCAAGCTATGAGAACCACCATTTCTCCATCTTGCCTCACCAAGATAGCACGGTACACCCAGCTTCGGGTCTGTGTCGGTCCAGACCTTTCGGTCCAGAATGGTCCAGACCGATCGGTCTTGGTCCAGACCGATCGGTCTACGCATGCAGACCGTTCAGTCCGGACCTGTCGGTCCAACCGACTTGCGAAACCCTAGACCGATCGGTCCAGAGGACCAGACCGATCGATCCAGGCGAAAACGTGATCAGATCTCGTTTTCGCCGTTTCTGCCCCGTTTCAGACCCGAATTCGACCTCGTTTTCGCCTGCGAACTCAGAATTCGAAGCTCTTGCACATTATGCAACAATGAACAGAAAATCTACTCTAGATCCATAATCAAATCATGCATAGCATCAAAGCAAACACGGATTCAAACAATTCAAATCCTATAACGTGCGTGATCGGGTTCTAACAAAAATCATGCAGAGCAACCAGGCTCTGATACCAATGTTGGGTTTTCCTGGGATCTCAAGAGTGAATCTAATTCCTAAGAGATCAGTTCTAGAGTTTGCGCAGCGGATTTAAAACAAAAATTTTGATGAAACCCTAAAACCTATCATGCATGATCTTGTAGAAACGTTAGAACGCTTACCTCAATCGATTCGGGGCTTGTATCAATCGAAGAACGCGTCTGATCACTGTAGACAGGAAGAATACCTTGCCCTCTACATGTATCCACGCGGCAGAAAGGATTCCAACGGTACTTGTCTGCTAGGACTGAAGAACTCTTTCTTCTTTATGCAAGGGTTTCAGGGATCTTTCTCTTAGCTTTTTCACTCTCCAAACCTCTCCCTAGGGTCTGAAAATCGTGCCAAAGGAGTTGGGTGGCGTTCCCTTAAGTTTCCCACCATTAAAACCCTAATTAGAGCGAGTTTAGTAAATCCCGACATCTGGACCGATCGGTCCAGACCTGGACCGATCAATCTGGAGCTTTTTAACGTCTGGACCGATCAGTCCACGTCTGGACCGATCGGTCTGGAACAATCTCCGGACCTCATACGTTACCTCTGGACCGACCGGTCTACGTCTAGACCGATCGGTCTGGGTTAGCTGGACCGATCGGTCCAGACCTTCTGGACCGGTCGGTCTGGCCTCCGCTCCACCGGGATTTTCTCGTCTCTTTTCGCACATTCGTCCTTTCCTGTGTGTGTGACCCTGTAGGCTCATCCGAAATAGCATTATAACACGAAATCTCTTATTTCGGTTACACAAGTCATAGGCGGTCTCTCTCTAGCATGACACTATGACTACCTATCTCGAATTGAGTTTGTTCGTGATCCTACGAACGCCAGTGATGATTCCGTTTGATGATCCTTTTGTATCACGATATCATATGTCGAATATAAGGCATGGACAAGCCGCCTTATCTGATTCGACTGCTTTCTCGTTCACTGAGTTCGACTGTCTGAAATAGACGACGTTCGTCTATAGTGCGGCCACACATTTCTACAGTCTCGCTCACACGAGGGGCCCAGCGATATCTCTCTCTTTTACGAGAGGTACAAATCCCGTCTTGACTATCTACAATCCAGCAAATGATTCGTTTCGTACCTGATACACGCCTTTATAGTCCTCCTGTTACGCAGGACGTTTGACGTAATCAAAGTACGCAACTCCTCATGTTGGATTCCATAGATATCTCAAGTCTTAGGATCCAATCATGGAACCATCATATGAGATTCAAGTCATGACGCTAGTCCATGTGACAATCTCATGCGGGTCAATCCAGTATTCCGTTCTCCAACGAATACCTATGATTGTGATCGTATCCAAATACCTATGATCTTCTATATGATCATCAATCACACATCATACTAGTCTTATTATGTCATCATTGACACAAGACTAGGGAGTTAAGTATCATTCATAATGATACATGGATTTCATAACACATCTAGTATGCAAGAACATGTAATGAATCAAATACTCTCATAAATCATAGAAAGTATCAATACATCAAATGTATCTAAATAAAGCTCATAAACAGTACATCATAGAACACTAAACCAACATGGATGACCCGCATGAGATTGTCATACGGACATGAGTCTTGACTTGAATCTAATGTGATAGGTTCACGACTAGATCCTTTGATCTGAGATGTCTACAGTATCCAACATGAGGAATGTCGTACTTTGATTACGTCAAACGTCTTGGGTAATAGGAAGATTATAACGGCGTTTCTTGGGTACGACATGAATCATGTTTCGGGTAGTAGATAGTCAATAAGGAATTTGTATCTCTCATCCCGAGAGATATATCGTTTGAGCCCCTCGAGTGAGTTGAGACTGAGATGCGCACAATCCGATGATGAGTCATCTGATGTTTCAGTTAACTCAACGAACGAGAAAACAGTTGAATCTCATAAAATGGCTGACTCCATGTCTTATGCTCGACATATGATATCGTGTTACAAAGGGATCATTGTATGGACTATTACCGACTTTCGTTAGATCACGGGACTAACTCTATTCAGATTAGGTAGTCATAATGTCTTGCTAGAGACCGCCTATGACTTGTATTACCGGAATAGAGATTTCGCGTCTTACTTCTATTCCAAATGAGCCTACAGTGTTACACACACAAGGAAGAAATAGACGAGAATCCCCGAGTCGACGGAGTCCAGACCGACTGGTCCACAGGGCTGGACCGACTAGTCTAGACTTGGCCAGACCGACCGGTCTAGACACATGGACCGGACGGCCCAGTCTCCGGAGCAAAAGTTGGGTCAGACCAAAATAAGAGCTAGGTCTACCGGTCCAAACGTCGGGAGAATCCTTCTCCTTTTCAAACTAGGGTTTCTTGGAAATAAATAAAAGGAGCACGACCCTTAGGGTTTTGGGATGCCTCCTCAGACTTTTAAAGCAAATCTAAGAGTCCCAAAACCCACCTCGTGATTCCTATAAACCCTGCGCATAGAGATTGTAATTTCTAGTCCTAGCAGACAAGTTCCAACCGTTGGAATTCTTTCTGACGTGTGGATACGTGTAGAAGGCTTGGTACACTTTCTGCCTTCTTGTGATTGACGATTTAGTTGTGAGTACAGACCCCGAATCGTTTAAGGTTAGCGTTTTTTCTATATCTCTACAATCATGCATGTTCGATTTTAGGGTTTTGTTTAGAAAATTTTTGTTTTTCACCTTCCACTACATAAACCTAGAATCGGATATCTAGAATTATGAATTGCTACCGAGATCCCATGAATCCTAACACTCGTACCTTTCAGATGGAAGCTTCTCAAGGATGGCTATGACGGACGCGACGGCGTAGACGACATGGAGATGGAAGACGAGAAGATCTAGAGTAGGGTTTATGCAGATTCCTGATTTACGAGATTGGTAGTGTAGTTTTACGAGTTTTGTATTTTTAGATATTTACACTACAATATTTGTATTTACTTTTGCTGCAAACTTGTGTAAAATAAGGTTTTAAACCCCGCATCTTTTAGATATTTGTCTTTTGGTTATTATTGTCCATGTGACGCAATTCGTTTACGAGGGATGAGGACTACGGCCGTAACAGTGAATATCCCTTCAATCTATTGAGAATTCTTCGCACCGAGCCAAGTTCTGCACTTCAACTAATTGATCCAGTTCTGATCTTTTCCTCGTTTATATGCTGCAAAATCTAAATTATTCTGCACAACAACTTGCAAACTAATAATTCTCTAAAAATCTATACACATTAGATTATTATACCTAACGATATATAGGTTATTTTTAATATCGCGTTATCTTAGTTAATCAATAAAAAACCTTAAAAGACAGAATTTACAACACTTTTTCGACAAAAAATATATTTCAAAAAAAAATTTGTGTTACTGGATCGTTGTCAATATACAACGAACGAGGGACGAAATCGATTTTGTTGCACGTCTCTAACGATTTACTAAGGAAATATTGAGTTTTCATATATACACCAATACAACAAATCACTCAATATCAATACATAAACCAAAATGAAAACCAAATCCGGACCCGGTTCAAACCAAACCGAATCACTCACGACGGAAAGTATTCTCGTCGTCGTCGTCGACGGAATCCGTAGCGCCGGAGGCCAGATCGATGAAATGGCTCATCTGATCGTTCATCGCCAAGAGCGTCTTCGATACCACGTCATCGTTCTTGCCGATCAGTGCTGTGACGTGGCTCGTCTCGTCACGTGAGACCATGACGTCGTAGTTGGCCGTGTCCGGTGTCGACTTGAGACCGGCGGCGGCGCTGCCGAAGGACGCGAGGATTCCTGCGTAGGCGTCGCGGCACTGCGCGTACACTGCCTTGTTCGGCGGCTCCTTCTTCACTGTCTCGTCGATGAAAGCCAGTGTCTTCTCGGCGTGTGCTTTCCCGAGTCCGATCGCTACCTCAGCCAGTGGAAACTATTCAATGAATATTAGACATGCTGTGAAAGTTGGTCTCTCTCTCTATATATATATATATATATATAATTTTGGAAATATAAATATCCTCACCACAGTTTAATGGTATTATTATAAACTGGTAGATATTAGTTAATATTTTAAAATTTTATGTATGTGGAAGTTTGTATAAATATCAATGAGTTTATACAGAAAAAAACAATTACATTAAAGATTTTGGAGTTCTAACGATTTATATAATTCACCTTTAACCAAAAAAAAAACAATGAGTTTATATAAAAAAGAAAAAACATTAAATATTTTGGAGTTTTAACGATTTAATGTGTTTTTATAAAAAAAAATTCACTTAAAATTTCCACCGGAACAATATCTTTCACAGGTAAAAAAAGTACTGAGTTCAAATATATCTGATTTCAACTAAAATTTTAAAATACTGATGAATAATTCTTGTTTAACGATTTTAAAAGTTGTAATTATATACTATAAATTATATTTATGTTATTTAGTGAGAATGTTTTAACAATTTAACGTGTTTTATAGGGTTTTCCTTAATTTTATGACGTCATTAATTAGGACAATACTATGCTAAAAAAATTACCAGACCATTTGCGGCAACCGCCTGAGGATTCTCCGTCAGAGCTTTCAGGCAATAAGCTTTGTCGGTGACACGTTGGCATACAATGCTGATGAACTCCGTGGGCGGCGGTTCTGCGGCCAACGAGAGAAACTGCACAATGATCGCAGCGGCGGCGACGGATAAACGACCGGAGAACGAAGCCATATCTTTGCCGGATATTTTTTTATTAATATTTCTTTCGATATTTTTTCTACCGTTGTTTATTGTTCTTCTTTGATTCTTTTTTGTTTGGGGTTATACATTTTAGGATGTTTTATACACCAAGGAAATAGTGAAAATGGGCTAATTAAGAAAGCGGTAAATATTTGATTTGAATTCAATTTACTAAACATGATTACTTTATTTTATTTAGGTAATCTTAATTTGGAGTTTTGTTCATTAATAGCTTGTGGTTTATGTATATGCTGTATAATTAGTTAATCAAACTTTTTGGAAAATACTCAACTTTAAAGATTAGAAAAGTTTTATAAAAAATCTTCTAAATGTGTGACATAAATACCTCAATTTCTAAATCTATATATATTAATAAAGAAGTTTAAAGAGTTGTGGTGAAGCCACATCATCATCCTAGGTGGATGTTTTCTAATTTTTGATTGGTTTATACAAAACTTCATTAAAAACATGAATATTCAATTAGATTAACATTAATTTTTACACATAAAAAATAGTTTTAAAAATAATTGATTATAAGGATGACAAAGAATATCAATAAAATATAAAAACAAAGTTTATGTGGGAGGATCACAAAAAATGCAGAAGCAAAATGTCAAAATAGAAATTATTTATATATATGTGGTTTATTGTGGTGTCAAAATGTCAAAAAATTTTATGCGGAAAGATCATCCATGTGGCATTTTTAATAATTTCTATTGGATGTTGATTAGTTGCATAATTTTGGTTTTTAATAAGTTATCTCTAATTTTTATATATCAAAAACTATTTTTAAAAATATCAGTAGATCTTTATAATTAAAAAACTCATTTTTTTTTATCTTATACATAAATAATGAAATTTAAAGCAATTTGATTAAGCCACATCCACATGTCATTTTACTTAAACCTCATTGGATTATAAGATCACTCATTGAAAAAAAGAAACGTTTGTGGTTGGATAAATAAAAAATTTATTTTGTTTTTATTACCGTCATTAAATTTCAATTAGTGGAGTAAGAATTTAAAACAAAAAACGTGCCAACGAATTTATTAACCCACTATGACCACTCTTCATAAAATAGTATCCATTTGAATTGAATGATACCTATACATTTAGAGACAATATTTATAATAAACGTGGAAATTCCATATCCATTTAGGTTTTAGTTATAAATATAGGAATCTGTAGACATTTTTATTTTGTTTTAATCAATCATTTGATTTAAGGTGAATAGTTTTGAAAACTTGTGTTTGGTCTCTATATGCAGATAAGAAGAAGTAAGAGATTTGAAAGGAAAAAAAAAACCCTGTATGAATATTTAGGAGAAGAAGAAGAAAGAGAAGATAATGGAAATGGAGACAATGATTCACTGAATGCCAAGTGTTTGGAAACCTATTTTTGTATTCTTAATCGATTGTACTATTTTTTTATTTTCATGCATCATTTCCTAATTATGTTCTATCATTTTTTTTTTGGCAGGATAAGATGAATGAAGAATATTGTCGAAGAATCAAATCTGGTAAATAAAAGAGAGATCCAACTAATATCAAATTTGGTAAATTAAATAATTAGAAATTATAATCTATTCTTTTTTTAATTAATTCAATTTGATGGATCATTTAATGTCTCTATATAATATCATTTTTTTTGCATCCTAAATTATTTAAGTTTTGGGTCTATCGATAATATTTGATTTTTTTGGTTGTGTTATTGCAGGGGACATGAATAAGAATAACATGAACTTTCCTGATGTCTCTATATAATATCATTTTTTTTGCATCCTAAATTATTTAAGTTTTGGGTCTATCGATAATATTTGATTTTTTTGGTTGTGTTATTGCAGGGGACATGAATAAGAATAATAGTATGGACTTTTAGATTTTATGAAAAGGTGAGATTGAAATGGTTATTTCTATATGTATAGATTTATTTATTAATTTGATTAAAATAAATTTATTTAAAATATGTAGTATATAGAAAAATCTTTAACATGAAAATATATGAGTTTAAACTAATAAAAATACTCATATTCAATTTCTTGTCATCTATGTATGTATGAATATATACATAATTTATTATTAAATGATATTATGATAAAACTAAATGATACTATTTTAAATTAGAATCATAGACATAAAAAAAAATTCAAAGACCAATAGACAAAGTTTTCAATATACATAACTTATTATTATTCTTTCTATTTATATACCTAGAAGACCTAGAACTTTCTCGCCTTAGCTTGAAGGATTCGTTTTTCAATGGTTAATCGATGGACGACGAAAATTTTCATCTTGATCTGATTTTTCGCTCATTTCGAATCCGTTTTTTCGTTCCGTTTTCTCGAGTTAATTCATGATCTTCACTCCGGGAGGTAATCGGATCAAACATCTCCGAATTCTTTGAAATCGTGTCGAATTCGAACCAGGAACTCAATTAGGGGTGCCTTGCCAATGGGACATGACGTGGCTCTTAGCAAGACTCAGTGAAATACCACTACTTTTAACGTTATTTTACTTACTCCGCCGCATAGTTGTAACCCATGTGTTTAGACGCCACGGTCATTGGACGTGAAGCCAAGGCTTTGTCATTCACAGTGAAACACTCCTTAGCCACCTCCCAGCTACTAACCACAAACGCTCTACGGCTTCCGAGTTGGGATTGGTTCTATCTGCAAAATGAAAATGAAAGGAAAAATGAAAAATAAATTAAGGAAAAAATGTAGTTTTCTATTTTATACATTTTAGTTACAACCCGAATGCGCCCAGGAATCATCCCGGTTTCTCCTACGGAAATCCGAGCGGATCATTGAATGCGCAGCAACAGGGCGTTTCCAGAATCCCTCAGAATCCACCGGGCTTCACTCAGTCACGTTTTCAGGTGCAGAATCAGGGATATGAGCAGCAGAATCAGGGTTACCGAGCACCTCAACCTGCGAAGAATGATGAAGCGGACATCAAGACGATGCTTTCCCAACTAATGCTCGATCAGAAGACATCATTTACTGAGTTGAAGACCGAGATACAGAGTATAAAAGTCAGGCAAGACACTTTTGAGAGGAGATTAGATGGATTTGATGCTCATCTGAAGCATGTGGACATGCAGATTGCGCAGCTTGCATCAGAACCCTCTAGACAGCAAGGCACATTTCCTGGAAAGCCCGAACCGAATCCACGAGAACACGTCAATGCCATTCAGCTTATAAGTGGAGAAAGTCTGCCTGAGACGGTCCCTATTACTACCACAGAAAAAGGGACGACGTCTAGACACACTGCTGATGAGAAAGGGAAAGCCATAGCTCACGAGACATCTAAGGTGCATGTAGAGGAAG